AGACATGGAGTTCCCAATGATGACATTTATCTGCCTCTAGGCCAGATTTGAAACTTGCATTAGGAGAGTAGCAGTCATATTCATCCACCTAAGATATCTGCATTTGACTCCCTCAGTGTTTTCAGTTTATGTATCTTGTACTCTCATGCTTAAACCTAGTAGCTCAAGGATTTCCATGCTGGGCACTCTTCCAAAGATCTCAACAGGTGTTATTTTATTTCTACAGCATGGAAGCTCCTGTTGGTGTATTCTAGTGATTATTTGTATCTCAGCAAGTTTGTCTTGCTTAGGACATGATATTTATCTATTTTCATTCTATTTTAGGTTTACCATATTATCTTACCAGCCCTAGTTAAAACGTATATGTGTTAAAAAGTGTTTATCCGTGACATAGCTGAAACAAAGTCAGTCACCTTTTAATATTTTAAAAAGAGACCCTTTGCAAAGCACTATAGGAGTCAGATAAACATATTTAAGGTAGATTTTTTTCTATTTAGAAAATTATTTTAATTTTTCATAGAAAAACTGATACAAGTTACTTTGTTTTAATATTCTCTTGTGAATCACTGATATTTTCTCAGCTACCACATTACCTCCACTTTATGCTACATTTGATATTCTCCAAAGTAGCTCATTTTATCTGAGCATTGTTCTTCCTTTTCCTCAGATTTCAGTTTAAAGTTCTCTTTATCAGGTTGGCAAGATTCTTGTCAAATGCATTCCTCTCATACATATGCTGTCCCCTATAGGGAGTCTGTTGTATTCACACATGAGCCCTAGTTAAGAAAACCTCATTTCGGTCTTTGCTGTTTTGGTTGGGTGCTACACGATACCGTTTACCGTTCATTTCTTCTTCAAAGTCATGCCTCAACTGGAAGAAGAAATGAAAATAGCCCTTCACTGCCCAAACCAAGTGCCATATGAATCAACAAGAGTATAGTGTGGTCTGTCAATGTGATAAGTCTCAGGAAACCTCCTGAAGGAACCTCCCATATCAGTTCCATCAAGATTTACCTCAATATGAATGAGAAAGAAATAAGACGCCTTCCCTCTAGTCCCTACCTGAAGGACTGGCTTTGGATGTTTATCCTCTGACTCTCAGTTGTAAATCTTTAGAGAACTACATGCATTAACCTAATGTGTAAAAGATATGTTATAAATTATCAGCCAATCATAAAAAGATTTAGATAGTATTGTCAAGATTCCTCTATAGGTTTTAAAACTAGCCTCCTTTACTGGTGACAGTTACCAAGGACCACATATGTGGGACTTACAGTCGCCAAGTTGAACTTGGAAGTGTGCCAGGAACAAAAGAGACAAAAAGACATAGTAATACTGTCTTCAGGAATCCACAATCTACTTGGTAACCTAACACTGCTGGACACAGACCTAAGCACATATCCCTGCTGTTAACACCAGGTGCACCCAACTGACCATACCTCTGGGTTCATGTAAGTGCTTCTGAGATGATTTTATAGCAGTAAGGAAACATCAATCCACAATTATTCTCCAATCTTAGAAGAATATATATCAGTTTAACAAACACTTGATACAAAGAATAGATTTCGTAAAAAGAATTCAACGTAGGAATACTAATCTGAAGGTATATCCATAAGGAATATTTATAACAGAGATTAAATATCTTCCATTAAAAACAGAGCAATACTGAAAATTAAACACCAAAGTTACTTACTTTTACTATGATAAGCCTCGCTCTGTTTTCACACCTCTGGTTATCATTTTCTACATACTCCACTTCAAACAGGGTATTATAATTTTCTAATATTTTAGCCATTATCTTGTTGCAGAGGTCTTGCTCTTTCATGCCTTCAAGCCCAGGAGACACACTAGAAATAAGGGGGAAAAACTGAGAGGAATTACTTTGTAAAAACACAACTGGCAGCACAGCTGGCTCAGGCTTATACTTTGATCTTTCCTGAACGATGGATCAGCCTCCTTATAAATACACACGGGATTTTAAATAAGTTCTACGGTGACACACAGGATGTTGTTGGGACAACTGGCAAGTTCCCAAGATCTGAATTAATAACTTGTGCTGAATAAGAAAAGTACATGTTGCTCAGGAAGAGAGCACAGGTTAACGTGAGTGCCATCGATAACGCTTTATACATATTAGAAATTGCTGCATATAAAGTAACATTTATAAAAAAGTAAAAGCTAGAGAGAGACCTTCAAGATGGCGGAGGAGTAAGACGCGGAGGTCACCTTCCTCCCCACAAATACATCAGAAAGACATCTACACGTGGAACAGCTCCTACAGAACACCTACTGAATGCTGGCAGAAGACCTCAGACCTCCCAAAAGGCAAGAAACTCCCCACGTACCCGGGTAGCGCGAAAGAAAAAACAAAACAGAGACAAAAGAATAGGGACGGGACCTGCACCAGTGGGGGGGCGGGGAGCTGTGAAGGAGGAAAAGTTTCCACACACTAGAAGCCCCTTCGTGGGCGGAGACTGCGGGTGGCGGAGGGGGAACTTCGGAGCCACGGAGAAGAGTGCAGCCACAGGGGTGCGGAGGGCAAAGCGGGGACATTCCCGCACAGAGGATCGGTGCCGACCGGCACTCACCAGCCCGAGAGGCTTGTCTGCTCACCCGCCGGGGCGGGCGGGGCTGGGAGCTGAGGCTCGGGCTTCGGTAAGAGCGCAGGGAGAGGACTGGGGTTAATGCACCACGGCTAGCCGGGAGGGAGTCCAGGGAAAAGTCTGGACCTGCCGAAGAGGCAAGAGACTTTTTCTTGCCTCTTTGTTTCCTGGTGCGCGAGGAGAGGGGATTAAGAACACCGCTTAAAGGATCTCCACACATGGGCGCGAGCCGCGGCTAACAGCGCGGACCCCAGAGACGGGCATGAGATGCTAAGGCTGCTGCTGCTGCCACCAAGAAGCCTGTGTGCGAGCACAGGTCACTATCCACACCCCCCTTCCGGGGAGGCTGTGCAGCCCGCCACTGCCAGGGTCCCGCGATCCAGGGACAACTTCTCCGGGAGAACACACGGCGCGCCTCAGGCTGGTGCAACGTCATGCTGCCTCTGCTGCCGCAGGCTCGCCCCGCCCTCCGTGCCCCGCCCCCCGGCCTGAGTGAGCCAGAGCCCCCGAATCAGCAGCTCCTTTAACCCCGTCCTGTCTGAGCGAAGAACAGACGCCCTCCGGCGACCTACACGCAGACGCAAGGCCAAATCCAAAGTTGAACCCCAAGAGCTGTGCAAACAAAGAAAGGGAAATCTCTCCCAGGAGCCTCAGCAGCAGCGGATTAAATCTCCATAATCAACTTCATGTACCTGCATCTGTGGAATACATGAATAGACAACGCAGCAACCCAAATTCAGGAGGTGGACTTTGGGAGCAACTGTAGATTTGGGGTTTCTTTTTGGCACCTAATTTGTTTCTAGTCTTACGTTTATCTTAGTTTAGTATTTAGAGTTTATTATCATTGGTAGATTTGGTTATTGATTTGGTTGCTCTCTTCCTTTTATCCTTTTAATATATAGATATGTATATATAATTTACCTATTTCTCTTTTTGTGAGTGTGTATGTATATGCTTCTTTGTGTAATTTTGTCTGTACAGCTTTGCTTTTACTATTTGTCCTAGGGTTCTGTCTGTCCTTTTTCTTTTCTTTAGTAGAGTTTTTAGCTCTTGTTATCATTGGTGGATTTGTTTTTTGGTTTGGTGGCTCTCTTTTTCTTTCCTTTACTACTTAAAATTTTCTTTTAATTTTTAATAATATTTATTTTTCTTTCTTTCTTTCCTTTTTTCTCCCTTTTCTTCTGAGCCATGTGGCTGACAGGGTCTTCAGCCGGGTGTCAGGCCTGTGCCTCTGAGTTGGGAGAGCCAAGATCAGGACACTGGTCCATCAGAGACCTCCCGGCTCCACGTAATAGCAAACAGTGAAAGCTCTCCAAGAGATATCCAGCTCAACACTAAGACCCAACTCCACTCAACGACCAGCAAGCTACAGTGCTGGACACCCTATGCTAAACAATGAGCAAGACAGCAACCCAAACCCACCCATTAGCACAGAGGTTGCCTAAAATCATAATAAGGCCACACACACCCCAAAACACACCACCAGACGTCATCCTCCCTACCAGAAATACAAGATCCAGCCTCATCCACCAGAACACAAGCACAAGTCCCCTCCACCAGGAAGCCTACACAACCCACTGAACCAACCTTAGCCACTAAGGGGGAGATACCAAAAACAACGGGAACTACGAACTTGCAGCCTGCAAAAAGGAGACCCCAAACACACTAAGTTAAGCAAAATGAGAAAACAGAGAAACACACAGCAGATGAAGGAGCAAGGTAAAAACCCACCAGAACTAACAAATGAAGAGGAAATAGGCAGTCTACCTGAAAAAGAATTCAGAATAATGATAGTAAAGATGATCCAAAATCTTGGAAATACAATGGAGAAAATACAAGAAACATTTAACAAGAACCTAGAAGAACTAAAGAGCAAACGAACAATGATGAACAACACAATAAATTAACTTAAAAATTCTCTAGAAGGAATCAATAGCAGAAAAACTGAGGCAGAAGAACGGATAAGTGACCTGGAAGATAAAGTACTAGAAATAACTACTGCAGAGCAGAATGAAGAAAAAAGAATGAAAAGAATTGAGGACAGTCTCAGAGACCTCTGGGACAACATTAAACGCACCAACATTCGAATTCTAGGGGTCCCAGAAGAAGAAGAGAAAAAGGGACAGAAAATATTTGAAGAAATTAGAGTTGAAAACTTCCCTGATATGGGAAAGGAAATAGTCAATCAGGTCCAGGAAGTGCAGAGAGTCCCATACGGGATAAATCCAAGGAGAAACATGCCAAGACACATATTAATCAAACTATCAAAAATCTAATACGAAGAAAAATTATTAAAAGCAGCAAGGGAAAAATAACATACAAGGAAATTGCCGTAAGGTTAACAGCTGATCTTCCAGCAGAAACTCTGCAAGCCAGAAGGGAGTGGCAGGACAAATTTAAAGTGATAAAAGGGGAAAACCTGCAACCAAGATTACCCAGCAAGGATCTCATTCAGATTAGATGGAGAAATTTAAACCTTTACAGACAAGCAGAAGCTAAGAGAATTCAGCACCAACAAACCAGCTTTAAAACAAATGCTATAGGAACTTCTCTAGGTACGAAACACAAGAAAAGGAAAAGACCTACAATGACAAACCCAAAACAATTTAAAAAACGGTAACAGGAACATACATATCGATAACTACCTTAAATGTAAATGGATTAAGTGCTCCAACCAAAAGACACAGACTGGCTGAATGGATAAAAAAAACAAGACCCGTATATATGCAGTCTACCAGAGACCCACTTCAGACCTAGGGACACATACAGACTGAAAGTGAGGGGATGGAAAAAGATATTCCATGCACATGGAAATCAAAAGAAAGCTGGAGTAGCAATTCTCATAGCTTGTTTTAAAGACAAAATGGTCTTTAAAATATAGACTATACAAGAGACAAAGAAGGACACTACATAATGATCAAGGGATCAATCCAAGAAGACGATATAACAATTTTAAATATTTATGCACCCAACATAGGAGTACCTCAATATATATGGCAAATGCTAACAGCCATAAAAGGGGAAAATGACAGTAACACAATCATAGTAGGGGACTTTAACACCCCACTTTCACCAATGGACAGATCATCCAAAATGAAAATAAATAAGGAAACACAAGCTTTAAATGATACACTAAACAAGATGGACTTAATTGATATTTATAGGACATTCCATCCACAAACAACAGAATACACTTTCTTCTCAAGTGCTCATGGAACATTCTCCAGGATAGATCATATCCTGGGTCACAAATCAAGCCTTGGTAAATTTAACAAAATTGAAATCTTATCAAGTATCTTTTCTGACCACAACACTAGGAGACCAGATATCAGTAACAGGAAAAAGTCTGTAAAAAATACAAACACATGGAGGCTAAACAATACACTACTAAATAACCAAGAGATCACTGAAGAAATCATAGAGAATATCAAAAAATACCTAGGAACAAATGACAATGAAAACATGATGACCCAAAACCTGTGGGATGCAACAAAAGCAGTTCTAAGAGGGAAGTTTATAGCAATACAATCCTACCTCAAGAAACAAGAAACATCTCAAATTAACAACCTAACATTACACCTAAAGCAATTAGAGAAAGAACTAAAAAACCCCCAAGTTAGCAGAAGGAAAGAAATCATAAAGATGAGATCAAAATAAATGAAGGAAACAACAGCAAAGATGAATAATACTAAAAGCTGGTTCTTTGAGAAGATAAACAAAGGTGAGAAACCTTTAGCCAGACTCATCAAGAAACAACGGAGAAGACTGAAATCAGTGGAATTACAAGTGAAGAAGGTGAAGGAAGTAACAACAGGCAATGCAGAAATACAAAGGATCATGAGAAATTCTTACAAGCAACTATATGCCAATAAAATGGACAACCTGGAAGAAATGGACAAATTCTTAGAAACATACAACCTTCTGAGACTGAACTAGGAAGATATAGAAAATGTAAACAGACCAATCACAAGCACTGAAATTGAGACTGTGATTAAAAATCTTCCAACAAACAAAAGCCCAGGACCAGATGGTTTCACAGGTGATTTCTATCAAACATTTAGAGAAGATCTAACACCTATCCTTCTCAAAATTTTCCAAAATATAGCAGAGGGAGAAACACTGCCAAACTCATTCTACGAGGCCACCATCACCCTGATACCAAAACCAAACAAAGATGTCACAAAGAAAGAAAACTACAGGCCAATATCACTGATGAACATAGATGCAAAAATTCTCAACAAAAT